TTATTGCTATTTACAAAGAGATCTTATATTTTACTTTATATCTTTAAGAAATTCCTACTAATCGTCCTGAACTGTGTATGGAAAAAACCTTCTTAATATTAATGCAATATTTAGAACTTAATAGAAAAATAGCATATTGGTATAACTTAAGAAAAGGTTTTATAACTTAAATAATTAAACAACAAAGAGTTTATTAAACAAATAAATTATTCTTTCTACGCACGCTTAAGCCACGCTTGCGCTAAGCTTGCGCTACGCTTGAGCTACGCTTGCACTACGCTTTTATTTCTCTGATCTTTACTGTGGCTTCCTCTACAAAAAACACTTTGTCATAAAATCGAATATGAGCATTTTAAAAGACAATTGTTTGTATGTTTTCTAAGGTTGTTACAGTAGTGGAAACGTAGCATAGTACTTTTTCGAAGGTATTAACGAAATACTAATCCACAAAACTGTATAACACGATACGGATACTAAAATAATTACGACTCGTCCGCAATACGGAGGGAGCTTATCAAACTTTCCAGTTTGGTGACTTATTAATTGCTAAAGTTTAATGCGAACTGTTGTTCCTATCCACTTAATCCAACCCACGCTGTAACTAGTTACTTTACTATCGCGATAGTTTTCGTATTTAGCCACCAGAGGGCCTATCATGAATTTTCGTGAGATCGTTTCCGTAACGACATTGACGGAAATTATATAACAATCTTTTTTTTATATCGTTTGGTGGCAAGCGAGCGAGCGGCCACCTGTAATCGCCGATATAGCGAAGTGACCGTTGCCCATAGACATACGCAATTACATATGCGTTGCCTACCTTTAATCGACGGAGGAGAGGATGCACAGAAAGGAAATATTTTCTCTTCCCATGCATCCTCTCATCCGGAAAGTCCATTCCACTTCCCATCCTTTCCTTATAAGAAAAAGCATAGGAAGAGAAAGAGGACTAAATAAGGCCTTCGGTACACAATTTGTACTACTACTCTTACTGGGCGTTAAGTACAGTCAGCTGCATGAATATGTGTACACTTAAAAACCTTTTGATACTTGCGAACATATGCACGTATTCTTCAGTAGTATATATTTAAAGTCTGAAACATACGGACAGATGCGTGCTTAAATATTTTTAAAACCAAAAGTGTATACAAGATTCTGAAGCTTTGTAAATGTATACATATTTATGCAGTTAATTGTACAACAAATCTAATATAATATTTGACTTATATTATCGATGACGTTACGAAAGCGCATGTCACAAATCATAGTAGGCCCTTAAATGGGGTTGCTAGGCTACGTCTCAATACGGCTTTATGAAAATGATTATTTTTTAGTTTTAATAAAATGTGTATTTGGTATTATCTTTTTATAAGGAACTAGCTGTCGCCCGCGACTCCGCACGGATTTAAAGAAACTTAATAAATAGCCTAAGTGTTCCAGACTATGTTATAAATTTCATCAAGATCTGTCGAGCAGTTCCTGAGATACCTTCTAACAATCATCCATCCATCGAAACAATCGCATTTTTAATATTACTAAAATAAATGCTACGTAATTTAGCTTAGAATTCTTTGTAAAAAATATTAGTAAGCTATGAAACCTTCTATTTCAAAATTGATCAATCCATTACGCTACTGACGGTCATATTGAAAGCACGCGGAAAACCTTCCCTGATCAAAATTGTTCTAAAGAAAACTGGTGACAGTATTTAGCAGATTTTTCTCTTTAATTAAAGTAACTTAAGTTATTTTAACTTGATAACTTTGCACACAATTGTTTCCATTGTCGGACGTTAAAGTTGGCCAAGTTAGCCGCTATCACTTGAAGAGGCGTTAAATAGCCTCACTTGCTCGTCTTAAGTTATATTTAAGTAATTGTAAAGTTGCTTAATAGCATTAAAGATACGATGTTCTTCACACAAGTTAAAAAGTCTAATATATCAATTATAAACTTAAAAAAAAACTTAATTAGTAGCCTATGTGTTTTTCTTAGCTCTGTTCTACATCTATGCCAAATTTCATGCAACAGTTCTGGAGATATCTTTTGACAAATATACATCCAAACATGCAAACATTCGCATTAATAAGATTCCAGATGAAATATTAATTATACAATCACAACTATGCCAACTAGTACATCATTTATGCTTTGAAAATCCCAATCGAAAACTGAAATAATTGAAGTGACATCTGATTTGTAAAATCAGGTATTACGTGACTAAATTCTAATGAAGGTAATTTATTTATACGTCCAAAAACTGCTATAAAAGGTTTCTTAAGACACGAAGGAATTACTTCTGATAATCTTTGTTAAATGTGTCTTTGTATTCTTCTAGAATATGCTCTACCAAAATTCATCGAGATCCGTAGAGCCGTTTGTGTCTCCAAAACTAACATCCATCCATCTTAATATACGTATTTATAATATTAGTAAGATAATAGAGAAAACATAGGATAATTTGATTTTACTACGATTCAAGTCAACGCATCTGCGGTTCCTCTGGTATTGAAGATGTCCATAGGCATCGATGATTACCTCGATTAACTAAATTAGGTAGCTAATATTTACGATGTTAAAATTACTTTCATGTTCTTTATTATCTCTTCAATGTATTTTTCTACTTTTGTAAAATAAATTAATATGACGTAAAATATTCGCATTTCTTAATCATTATTTTCCAAAGATAGCCTACAAAATATTTGTCGTTCATTCTTAACGCTGATTAATCGAATTTTCATTGCTATTACAATTCTTACGCATAACGCTAAAATAACTATTAATTTTGTTCGGTTTTTGAAAAACAAATTGGGCGCCTATAAAAATAATTTCAAATTTCACACACCCCAGTTCTCTCTTATAACAATATATTAAATATCATATTAATACGTAATAATCTTAGAAACACATGTTTGAAGATATAATTATAAACATAATACGCTTGCGTTCCAAAATAACAAGAATTTCCATTTTAAAATTCCTTCAAACATAATAATTAAGAAGTAACATATCAGACATAATCCTGAAATAAATTTCGCTCAGGGCCGGCTTATCAAAGTTTACCGGGTGTCTGGCGACTTATTAATAGCCCCAAGTTAAATTCGCTTCGTTATTCCCGCGCACTTAATCCGACCCTGTGCGGTAACGTTGACAACTATGAATTACGGGTTTCCATGACAACGAAGAAGGATGATAAACACGGACAGCAACCAACCACACAATTATTTTGTGCAAACTGGAGCCTAAATTGTGATCTTCTCCTTCCAAACCTTTTCTTATAAGGATCCAAACTGAAAGAACCACTAGGCACTTTCAACCAGCTCCCCTCAATAAAGAAGAGTAACATGATTTAAGTTTTGTCTTTACTGACCGAATAGACGACTCGCGTCGACGATTCAACGTTGCGTATACGAAGAGCGCGCTACACGATTCTTGCGACGCAAGGATACGATATTAGTTTTAGAGCTTTTCGTTGCCTTGTGCGACAACGTGATAAGCCCTTTTTGCTTAAATATGACATCAAAATTGCACTTATATTAAAAAAAAGTTTTATATTAAATACATTCGAGATAAAAAAATATTAAATTATAAAATGTCATTGAAAAAATAAATATATTTATTTTTTAACAAAAATTGTTGATTAATTTAAACGTGCAGTCGAAGGCTTGTTTGTGTGAGCAAATAATGAAACATAACTGAAGCTTCAATGGACACAGATTGATATAATTTAATAAATACGAACGCGCAAATTGAAAACATTTAATTGATTTGTTTATTATATTTATTTATGTTTGCTGTTCGAACAATATATTTAATTTACTCATAATCAAGATAAAAAGTAACAGATTTTAATACACACAAAACATTAATAACATTTCTTATCTGTCTTACATTCTCTTGTGCTCGTATGTTTGTTCGTCTTCAACAAACATCAATGTATTTAGCCAATTTTTACATTAAAACCTTTAAGAATTATTTCTATATTAGCTGTCTCCCGCGATTCTAGCTGCGTGGTAAAAGAAACTTAATTAGTAGCCTACGTGTTCTTCCAGGCTACAATCTACATCTATGTCGAATTTCAGCGAGATCCATCCAGCTGTTCTAAACATTTGCATTTATAATATTAGAATGATATATCCTAAACAACGCTAGTTGACGAAAACAGCATGAAAGTCCGTACTTATTTTTAATTTATAATCCCCAAATACAATAGTATTAAAATATTTTTATACAGACTATATAATTATAAAAATTATACATTTTCGTGTAGCAGTTTAAACCCGAAAGGATTTATTTATATAATCCTCTCAGAGCCCTCAATTTCAGTGAAATGGCAGCTTATCAAAGATATTCCAGTCCCTGTCGGCTTGTTAATTGGAAAAGTTACGTGCGGATCATTATTTTCACACTTGTAATCCGACCCCGTTGGATTTATAAAATTTATAAGAAAATGTTTATATTTAAATTTAGAATTGTAAAACAATAGAAAACCTTTCATATTGAAAATTAATTAAAATAACAATACTTCCCTGGCTTTATAAATACACTGGTAACTTTGTATAAGTCGCTCGTTTACCGCCTAATGTTATAAAATAGCAATAATACGTTAGTCATTAATTGCAATGTTATTCTGTGAGGTATAAATCAATAGACATACTTTCGTTATTTCAGTCATAAATTAAAAAAAGTAAAACTACATCCAAAAAATAGAGAAAGCAATAACTTTTCCTCGAAAACATCCTGCCACTGCGTAACATTTAACATCGCTCCGTTTTGCAATTAAAACTGTTTTCGGTTGCAATTCCCCCAGCCGCGACGTCAGCGGTGACATCATCTGACAGATCGCGTTTATTAAAGTGCATCTGCTTCAAAAACAACAACGTTTGTAGTCAGTAAGAAAAGTAATTAATTAAAAAATAACTGAAAATGTTAATTAAATGTCTGAATGTTTTACTTTAGTTTGTATTTTATAGAATAATGAAAAATTCTTTGTATATTTTCAGGTACTGTCAGCCTCACATCAAACACAACGTGAGTATAAATCTTAAGAATATTGTTTTAATTTCGTATGTCTTATACTAGATGTCGCCCGCGACTCCAACCTCGTGGGATTAAAAAAAAGTTAATTAGGAGCCTATGTGTTCTTTCAGACTATGTTCGACATATATGATAAATTTCATCAAGATCCGTTTAGCCGATTTGGATATAACTTTAAACAAACATCCATCCATCCATCTAAACATTTGCATTCATAATATCTGTAAGATATAAAATTCTCGTGTCACAATGTTAGTTACAATACTCCTCGGAAACGGCTTTACTTTTATTAAATTTTATATGTGTAATCCCGCGCGGATGAAGTCGTGGGCTTCAGCTAGTCCGAATATGTATTAGGAATAAAGAATTTTATATGAAAAATTATATACTATTTTATAAATAAAACTTTAGGAGCTACAAAAGTGGTTTTTAATAAATTTAACTTAAGAAAACATAAATAAATTGATTTGTCTATATAAAAAGCGAATATAATTTTCTTTAGCGAATGTTGATTTTACGACAAAACAAAAACTAGATTTCAATTTACATTTATGAACTGAACACTGTAAAAACTTCGAAGTAATAGATTTCCAGAATATTTTCAATTTAAAATAACTGACGTTCGTTTCTTATTACTGCAAAGTCTGCATTTGACGTGCATTTATTAAAAAAGAGTTAGTCTCTATAGATCATTTTAAATCATTTGATTTAAAGTTATCTTACTAATGTTATAAATGCGAATGTTTAGATGGATGGATGTTTGAACGTATCTCGATAACGACTCAATAGATCTTAATGAAATTTGGTATAGATGTAGAACATAGTCTGGAAGAACCCATGACTACTAATTAAGTTTATTATTTTTTGTTCCGGCAAGAGGGAGTCGCGGTCGAAAGCTAATATTTTTATTATATAAATTGTGTTCTGTTTTTTATATTTGGAACATATATGTCACTTGATTAATAATAATTATAAATTAACACTGATATCTATAAATAGATAGGCTATTGCTTGGAAATATTTATCGTTGCTCTAACTTAAACGCGCCTGTTGAAGTTCCCGAGTTAATTGTATATCTATTATTAGTTTGAATCCTCACTACACTTAATAATTGCCATAGTCAGCGACAAAATGGCGGTGATCAAATAGGTACAAAATACCAAGGATATAGCCAGTCCATTTAAAGTAGAGGTCAAAATATTTAACGATTTATAAGAAGTTCTGCCATCTGTTCCATGTCAAAAAAAAATCTTATTGCAACTAATACAAATTTTATCAGTGGGTTCAATTGTTTTTCTTGCATTTTCCAATTCAATGAACATAACAAAAGTATTCGTACCGTAATCAAATCCTTCAAACATTCAGGAATTTGTACTCTAAAATACTTTCGTAGAAATGTATTTCGATTTTCATTATCGAAGAAATGTAAATCCTAAATAAAATCCGTATCGTCTCTTACTGAAAATCTAGCGAAGTCACCGAACAAGTTGTAATCTAAATTTTATTACTTGCATTTGGAGCTGTTCAAAAACAGAATCGAAAAACGAGATGAAGATTTCTAAAGCTTTTAAAAAGCTTAGTTTTTAAAAATAATCTTAATTTATTTCTAAGAGACTTTAAGTCTTACCTAAAATTGACTAGATCTTAGTCAACGTTGCGATGCGTGCAGGATGAATCTAGATGTTTTCCTACGATGTAATTAGTCCGATGGTTAAAGATTTTTGTCTTCTTTAGTTCTATTACGTATTTAGTTTTTGAATTTCAAATAAATTAAAGTTCGCGACGGGTTTTTTTATAAGCAATTCTTTAATAAAACTCGACGAAAACAAAGTAAAATTTGATGAAATCGCGCCGCATTCGTTTGGCACAGATTCTCAAATAAGTTTCATTCTCACAGACAATATTACTTTTCGCATACCTAGAGATATTTGGAGCGTAGTATTTCTGTTATTCCTTATCTCTTTTTCTATTGTATTAAAGATAGTTGAAGGTATAGTTTTATTAGTCCTATATTTGTTTTACATTTTTTATAAAGTGGAAAACGAATAAGTGACTTTTGACCATCTATATCAGCTCACTATACGTCCCCACTGAGAGGCTCGGAGCCTACTCTAAGTTAGGGGTGCTTAGGCCATTGTCAACCACGCTGGCCCAGTGCACGTCGGTTGCCTTCACACATATCACTGAATTTCTTCTCAGATAAGTACAGGTTACATCACGATGTTTTCCTTCACCGTACTCGTAAGAACAAAGGATAAAAGTACATATGTAAATCGGAAATCGAAAAACACATTTTTTAAATAACAGGATATGAACCCAGGACCTGCAGGTTGCAAGTAAAGTGCTTAACCCTTGAGCCACCGATTCTCTTGACTTTTGACCACATTTGCAATTAAAAGGTGCAGAAGACTTTCATGTACGTTTAAATGTCAAATACACTTCTCCGTCCCATCTTTTACTTACATTAAAAATGTTGGAGAAATTTCTTTCACTGTTGAGAATCTACACTGTCCCCGGTGACATAGGATATATTTATAACGAGATGTTTTAAATTCTGCATATACGAAGTCAGACAACTGTTAGTTATATAAAAAATCCTTTTGTGTCATGTATACAAAGATATGATTTGATACTACGATTGTAAAGTTATCACGTATCGAGATTTCATTCAGCAAATAGTTGATTCAATAAAATAAAAATTGGTATTCTATTCTGTGTACTTTATACGCTTCCTATTGGAAAACGGTATCTGTTTATTTGAGAAGAATCATGTTATAAAAATAGCAATCGCTATATGCTTACCTTTACGATTTGAAGTGATTTGTTTTAAAGCGTCAATAGCCTAATGGTTAAGGGTACGGATTTCCGATCCCGAGGTCGGGGGTTCGAATCCCGCCATTCGACTATTGTCGTAAACCCTATCCTAGCACAAGCATACAGCTTAGTTGGAATGGTCAAAGAAATATTAGTAAATTTAGAAAAAAATCTGCTAATATTTAAAAAAAAAACTTACAGGTATGAGCAGATATTATGTATTTTTAAACTCGGTCATTATATATTATACTAGTAATGTGTGCTCGTACATACGTATGTCGAAGGAAAACATCGTGATATAACCTACACATATCTGAATAGAAATTCAAAGATATGTTTGATGTCAACGCACACTGGGCAGCATTGACTATGGCCTAGTCACCACCAACTTACTCTCATTGGGAACGTATAGCTGATGATGATACGAAAGTTCTTACACACTTTCTTTACTATGTCAAAATTTTTTATCTGATTGCCTTGGATTATTTTACTTAGCACTTTCCACGCGTTAAGTAATTTTTATTTTACGTTTTATAAGCTAGTGCTTGACCACGATCCCACCTGGTGTTAGTGGCGATTTGGTCGAAAGATGGTACGCGCTAGCTTAGTAAGTGCCTATTCACTATTTTTGAAGGTCCCAACATCATATTTGGACGGAAAAACAGAGGCTGGCAACTTGTTCCAATCCTTTGCGGTACGCACAAATTCTATGATTTTTAATTTATCTCATCTTCTCCAATACAAACTTATATGCTACCTTTGTAGTCTTACATCGAAAGTAATTTTGTACCTTATAAATTTAATAATGTGAAGTTAAAATTTTAATTAAACCGCCACTCAAAGTTCGCACAACGTGACTATACGCCGGATTAATATTCCATGTTTTAATCACGTTCAAATACCTACAGTTTTAAAAGAGGCACGGGTATCAAAATTATTCTAGGAGTATACTAAAATAGATTAGATATGATAATATGATGTAATATGTTTATGGTTGGTAACGCAACCGCAGTGTGGAATAGTTTGTCACCAATGGTAGCTACGAAACAATAAGACTTAGCTTCAATTTCCAATTAATAGCTAACTGCAAACGATATAGAAAGCAAACGATTCGTATGCCAGCAACGCATCATCTGTTGTACTTAATAGGTAACTAGATTTCACTCGTATGTCTTCTTATATAAATAAGCTGTTGCACGCGACTCTGTCCGCGCGGTATTAAAAATAGATGTTGGCCGATTCTCAGACCCACTCAATATGCTCACAAAATTTCATGAGAATCGGTCAAGCCGTTTCGGACGAGTATGGGAACGAGAATTTTATATATAAGACAAGCTGTTGCATGAGTGATTTTCGTTTGATGAGTGCGTTCCGGAGGTCTAATTTTAGTCCTCTTCCCCTTCCCAACCTTTTCTTATTTAAGGAGAGGATGAAAAGTGGAAGCATATTAAATGGATGATGAGACTTATAGGAAGGGGAAATATTCTCGTTCAAAAGGTAAACAACGCAATTGCGAATGTCTATGGACAGCGGTCGCTTAGCCATTTCGAAGAATTCAAGTGGCCGCTTGCTCGTTTTTAATTAAAAAAAAACTTACTAAAATGATAATTGTCAATTTCTCGTGTTTAAAAATATGTAACTCTTTAATATATTGGTCTTAATGTTCTCTAGACATATATTTTGTCAATTATTTTCCAATACGCGACTTGTTTTATGTTCGCACGGATTATTACTCGCTCCAGCGATCCCGAAAATTACTGAAAGCTTCTCGCTGCGGATTCTGAAATCAGTTGCCATATTGTTTCGCAAACTCATCAATATATTAAAATATTGCAGGAAAATATACGAAGCAAAAGTAGAAGAATTTTTTAACATAATGTTTAAACTTTGGCTAAGTTTATCTTTATTAATTTAACCGTAGAATTCCATTGGCGTGACCGTAGGTCGCACGGTAGTGGACATCTACGGTAATATTGTTCAAATTGTTTTTTTTTACAAAAAATAGAAAAATCAACTTACTAATATTATAAATGGATGAATGGATGTTTGTTTCAAGGTATCGGAATGGCTGTAGGTATCTCGAAATTTGGTGTAGATGTATAATGTAATCGGGAAGAACATAAGCTATTAATTAAGTTTTTTAAATCCGTGCGGATGGACACGCGGGCGACGGCTAGTAGTA